AGCCTCCCTACAGTTTGCATCCCACCATGGCACAGTCTTTTTACTTCTGCTCCCAGCACCCCTTGGTATACTTTCCTCTGCTGCTTGTACTATGACTGCTACCAGCTTGTTATTGAATTCATCCCCATCTGAGAAATCTTCTTTGTTTAACAGCTCACATTTATTCTTACATAGCTTTTTATACACCTCCCAATTTGCTTTATCTAATTTCCATCTTGGTAGTCTTAGATCCTCATCTTGGTGAACTTCTACTCCAGTCTTAATTATTACAGGCTAATGATCACTACCTATTGCTGATTTACTTAACACCTTCCATGTGGTAACAACAGCGACTTCTTCTGACACAAATGTTAAATCAATTGCACTTTCTGTGTTTTGCACACTATTATACCTGGTACCACTCCCATCATTCATACATACTAAACTTTTATCCACCATAAATTCCTCTATGACTTGCTCGTTAATCTAAGACATTTTAAAAGGACCCGTAGACACCCTGACAAAAGATCACAGCAACAGGACAAATCTTCTGGGATCAGTTTATTACTGTGCTCACTGCAAAATCAGTCATACTTTTAATTAAAGGTTCCGCTCACATTTTCACGGACAATATTTCCAAACTTTTTCATGACTTTTCAAGGACTCACAATGAAGAATTTTCTTTTTCTTTCCCCACTTGCCCGGCGTTTTTCAAACATCTGATTCAAACTCTATGTAAACATAATTGGCACACAGGAAGGGAGAGACAAACTGAGGGAGAAAATGACAAAACACACCTGATGGTAAACAAACACTGTCACACATCAACGCATATTAAAGCTACATTAAGACGCCAGCTTCAGAAAAATGAATTTGCCATTATGTTACATTTTATGGAGGATTATCCACTGAAGATGATTCTAATAATTTCATTATACACAAACAAGTTCTGTGACTTATGATTTTGACTAATTCCATGACTTTTCCAGGGTTTCCATGACTCTTGCAAGTATAAAATTCATTCAAACTTTAAAGCAGTGTCCTCCTTTTCTTCTTTATCTCACTAGTTTAACTGTTCCAGACCTGCAATTTCAATTAAAATTCAGGATTTGGACTTCACTCCCCACTTTTCTTAGCATGCTTTATGGAACAGGCCTCTGAAAGCTCTGCCACATGTTTTGCATGTAAACAGTCTCTCTCCTGTATATGTGTGACTTCAACTGGAACCTCTGTGCTCAAGTGATGCACCTTTACACCTGTGTGCGTTCTCATGTGGACTGTCAAGGTATTGCTAGATCTGAAGTGTCTCCCACATGTTGTGCAAATATACAGCTTCTCACCTGTGTGAGTCCTCATGTGGGCTAACAAGTAATCTTTACGTACAAAACCTCTCCCACATACTTTACAAGTATACGGCTTCTCACCTGAATGATTCCTCATGTGGACTAACAAGTAATCATTACGTATGAAACCTCTCCCACATACTTTACAAGTATACGGCTTCTCACTTGAATGAGTCCTCATGTGGACTAACAAGTCACCATTACGTCTGAAACCTCTCCCACATACTTTACAAGTATACGGCTTCTCACTTGAATGAGTGTTCATGTGGACTAACAAGTAATCATTACGTACGAAACCTCTCCCACATACTTTACAAGTATACGGCTTCTCACCTGAATGACTCCTCATGTGGACTAACAAGTAATCTTTACGTATGAAACCTCTCCCACATACTTTACAAGTATACGGCTTCTCACCTGAATGAGTCCTCATGTGGACTAACAAGTAATTACTACGTACGAAACCTCTCCCACATACTTTACAAGTATACAGCTTCTCACTTGAATGAGTCCTCATGTGGACTAACAAGTAATCATTACATCTGAAACCTCTCCCACATACTTTACAAGTATACGGCATCTCACCTGTGTGGATTCTCAGGTGTCTCTGCAATTTTGACTTGTACTCAAAAACTTTCCCACATATGTCACATTTTAAAGGCTTTTTACCTGTATTTAAGTTGATCACAGCAGAGGTGTGTGGACTCTTACTGTTAATTTCACTTTCATGATGTCTTTTCTCTGCTTGAAGCTCTGTGTTTCTAGTTGATCCTGAGTCTCCATGCTGGTATTCTTCCTCATCTTGGCTCTCAGCTACATGAGAGTTGTGAGAGAGCAGCTGGTGGTCACTGGTTGGTATCACATAGCTTATAACTGGTATGATGACGACAGACTCTTTCTCTGCTGCACTTTGAGTGTCGTCATGAATGAAGTCCAGAGTCTGATCTTCACTGTGCTCACTTTCCTCTTCAGCAGGAGTCAACATAAAGCCATCAGTCTCCTGCTTCAGTACAAGCTGCTCTCCCTCCTGACTGCTGCACACTTCCTCCTCTTCCTCTTTAATGTGTGGAGGCTCTGGCTCCTCTTGGTCCACACTGGACTTCCTCTCCTCAATACAGAGCTGCTGCTCAGGGACAACCTCCTCCTCCTTACACACATGTTGCTGTGGGAGCTCTGGAGGGACACACAACAACACCAACAGCATACTACTGCGATGCTACAGCAAATATACAGACATGGCAGTAATTAGTTAAATTAGGTTTCACCCACCTGTCCTGTGTAACTTTATTTCAGGCTTCAAAACGATATCCAACAGTCTGCGCTGACGATCGATCTCTTCCTCGTACTCGACGATGATTCTTTAAAAAACTCCCAATATTTCTTCAGCAGCAGCAGTTAGTCGCTCATTGACAAACTCTCTCAAAGACTCAACTGAACACATTGTTGTCTAATGTAGGCTACAGTAAATGTGGCTCGAGGTTTAACTCATAGATTAACCTCCCGAACTTAACGCAGTCATTTGGGAGACGCGACTGGCGCCTTTGTTTCGTTTACTTCTTCTTCTTCTTCTAATGGAATTCCGGCAGGCTGTACACTAAATTGTGTAATGCTGCCCTCCACAGGTCAGATTGATCTATTCAGTTTAGATTTTCTGATACAGTCCAGCTGACCGGAGAAAAAGAATTATTGCTTTCCCAATTAGATGGAAGTCCGCATCAGAAGAGAATATAGATTTGAAAGAAAAGGAAGAAAAACCCAACTTAGATAACTCCCTAAACATGTGCTGTCTTTCATCCCAATATTTACTGCACTCAAACATTACATGCTGCGGTGTCTCCAACTTCCCACACTGGCAGAAACCATTTAGGTTCTTGCCTATTGTTTTGAGGTTGCTGGCCAGACCACAATGCCCCAGTTTTAAACGAGTTAAGACCACATCATCCTTTCTTCCAGTTTTAATCTGTAGCCTCCTTCTTTTAACAGATGGCTGCAGGGAAAAGTAATGTCTGCCATGTTGGTCTTCTCTCCATTCTTTTTGCCATTGTTCCTCTAATTTTTCTTTGCCAATTTGAAAGCACTCAGGCTTCCCAAGAAACACATTCAGATCAACAGTATCTTTTTCAAGGGATTTTTTTGCCAGTTGGTAGGCTCTTTCATTTCCTTCTATACCTGAGTGGCCTGGTACCCACATAAATTCCACATTACATCCAGTTTTACCAAGTCTATAGTGACAGCACAAGATCTCCTGTAGCAGGTCAGGTCGAGCCCTTGATGCACCATTCTTCAAGGCCAACAAGGCAGCTTTAGAATCTGAACAAACTATGCTTTTTAGGGGTCCAACAACCTCCACCCACCACATGGCCCACAAGATCCCTAGGAGCTCAGCAGAAAAGATAGACAACTTGTTAGATACTCGGATGGTCTGTTGAATATTAAAGTATGACACAAACATTCCAAAACCAGCCTTTCCAGATATTGGGTACACAGATCCATCTGTAAAAATTTGAACATAGTCTTTTTGGAGACTATTAACATACTCATTAACCTCATTATATGTCTTTATGTTTTCAAGAGAGGATACATGAACTTCAGGTTCAGGTATATACCAGAGAGGGACAGGGGAACAGAAAGACATGCACATTCTGTCTTCTTCAAGCCCAAATGTCGAGGCGAGCTTTTTAATATGACTAAGGAAGTTTGACCTCCTTTCATTACCAACAAATTCCCAACAGTTTTCCAAAAGACATTTAGCAAATGGGACACATTTAATAGTACACAATTTATACCAATAATGGAGCCCAAGCTTATCTCTCCTAATTCTTAGAGGAGCCTCCCCCATTTCAACAAGCAGAGCTGGTATTGGAGTTGTTCTGAAAGCTCCACAACATATTCTTAGAGCTTTGGCCTGAAGCCGATCCAACTTCTCAAGCACAGATTTGGAGGCTGAGCCAAATACAACACATCAATAGTCTAAAGTAGACCTTATAATTGCTCTGTATATCATTAGCAATATCTCTCTTTAAGCCCCCCAGTCACATCCGGCTAAGCTTCGAAGAATGTTGATTATTTTCTCACATTTAAAAATAGTTTTATCAATGTGGGTTCTCCATGTTAGCCTCTCATCCAACCACACACCCAAAAATTTAAAATTGCTAACTCTTTCTAAAGAGCTCCCATACATTGTAAGGTTTAGAGGGGGAACCTTCCTTTTTAGGCCAAAAACCATAAATTTACTTTTGGGTGCAGAGATTTTAAACCCCCACTTGTCTGCCCACTTAACAACCTGATCTAAGGCCTGTTGTGTTTGACAGAACACGTGATGCATGTTTTTCCCTCTCCTCCAGAGGGCACCATCATCTGCAAACAATGATTTACCAAACCCTTGTTGGACATTTTCAAAGATATCATTTATCATAACATTAAAGAGAACTGGACTAATAACTGAACCTTGCGGTGTACCATTTTCAACCTCAGCAATTTCAGACTCAATACCTTCTATTCTCACTTGAATAGTTCTATGATTAAGGAAATCCTTAATCCAGTAAAACATTCTGCCATGAACGCCAGCGTCATGCAGCTTCATCAGCACACCCTCCCTCCACATGGAGTCATATGCTTTCTCTATATCTAGAAAAACACAGATCACAGCTTCTTTATTTATAATAGCTTTCTTTATGTCCTGATCAAGAACAGCAACAGAATCCATTGTGTTTCTGCCAATTCTAAAGCCATTTTGATAATTAACAAAAAAATTATTAGATTCAAGGAAGTGCATCAACCTATTTGTAACCATTCTTTCCATTACTTTACACATGACTGATGTTAATGCAATCGGTCGGTAGGATGATGTAGAAGATGGATCTTTTCCGGGCTTCAAAATAGGAACAACCAATTCATGTTTCCATTTCGTTGGTAACATTCCAGCCTAATAATAATAATATAATAATAATAATAATAATAATAATAATAATAATAATTATAGAGTGCCAACATTTCTTCAAGTGCTCCCTCTTCTAAGTGTTTAAGCAGCTCATAGCTTATTCCGTCCTGACCTGGAGTAGTATTTAACCCAGTTTTTATTGCATCTTTAAGCTCTTTTAACGAGAAAAACGCATTATATGACCTATTCCTTTCACGTACATAATTCAATTTCCATTCATCTGCTTTCAGAAGCTCTTCTCTTTCTCTCAACCCTTCATGCCCTAGGCTTTTTGAATTATGCACATCTTGGAAAGTTTTGACACACATGTCTGCCTTATCTTTACTAAAAATGGCCTCAGTGTGCCTGTCCTTTAGAACTGGAATTGTTGTTTTAACAACTTTTCCTGACATTTTGTGAATTCTAGACCATAATTGTTTGGCTGGAGTGTCTGGTCCTAGCGTCCCACAAAAGTTTCTCCAACATTTCCTTTTTGCGTTCTTGACAGTTTTCCTCACCAACGCACAATAACGCTTGTATTTTATGACATTTTCCTGGGAAGGGTTCTTACGTAATTTTTTAAACGCACGTTTCCTCATGCTTATAGCTTTGCTACATTCGCTATTCCACCATGGAACTATGGCTCGCTCTTTAGGGATCTTTCTAAAGGGGATTGCTTCTGAAGCAGCAGTCAAGATCATTGCTATTAAAGAATCGTTAAAATCATCAATTGACCCATCACTGCAAACACTCTCTAAGCCTGCAGCTATCTCCTCTTCAAACTTATCCCACTTTGCTCTAGAGAAATCAAATCGTTTGGCTCTGTCCTCTGATTTCTTTATGAGAGGTCTTCCAAATTTGGATAAAACTGGGAAGTGATCACTTCCCATTGGGTCTTTACTCAAGACACTCCACTCCCCTACCCTTGCAAGAGCCGGTGAAGCCAGAGTCAGGTCTAAACATGACATTTTTGAAGTTTTAATTTTAAAGCGGGTCAGTTGTCCATCATTTATTATAACTAAATTAGAGTTATCTAACAATTCCTCTATTATTTCCCCGTTAGTACCTCTATCCTTACTTCCCCACAGAGGGTTGTGGGCATTGAAATCTCCTACCCAGATGACTTGCGAGCTGCTAGCCTTGCTCATTATGTTCTCAAGCTCAGATAGAATGAGGGGTTTACAAGGATTATAAAAATTAACAATGCATATTTTCCCCTGGGGGCTCCATACCTCAACAATTAAATTTTCAAAAGACGTATCACATTCACAAATTCTATATTGCATATTGGACTTAACAAAAGTTGCACATCCTCCTCCTGGCCTGTCATTCCTGTCCTTACGCAGGCATACATATCCAGGAATAATGAAATCTAGACAAGGCTTTAACCATGTCTCCTGGATACAAATTAGATCAGGTTTTATTTCACAGTCTCGAACTAGCTTTTTGAGCTCCTGGCCATTGGCGATTAAACTTCGTGCATTCCATTGGAGGATGCAGAACATCATAAATATTTAAACATCATCATAATCTTCAATGAAGTCACCCTCATCCATATCTTCTCCGTCCTCATCATCCTCCCTGTCAATGTAGCTTGTCTTTTCTTGGCTTGACCTCATGTAGTCATATAGAGATTGGGGAGCAAAGACTTTCAGACCCAAAAACCTGACTGCTGCTTCAGACACACATTTAATTATATCAGATCTGGACTTCTTTTCTCGAGCCCCGTACAGTACATCAACAATGAAAGCCATCAAGGATTCTTTTTTTATCACAATTTCATCCCTTGCTATGATGGATGGAGGCGATTGAGACATCAAAGGCCCACCTGTTCTCATTTTTCCAAGGGTGCTTGCATCACCAGCCCTTTCCACTTTCTTCAGAGCTTCCGCATAAGAGATCTTGTGCTCATCCCTGACCTCCTGAACTTGCTTTGCTTTTATAAAGTGGCCACACTCCTTAAATGAAGCCGAATGACTTCCTCCACAGTTACAACATTTAGGAGTTGACACTCCACAGTTCACTACATCATGGTCACCTCCACACTTGGCGCAACGCCTATCTCCTCTGCATGACATAGCCATATGCCCAAACCTTTGGCATTTAAAACACCGAAGTGGAGACCTTTGAAACTGCTTCACCTGGTATGACAGACAGCCAATGTACACCCTTGCTGGGAGAAAATTCCCCTCAAAGGTTATCAAAACTGGAGAGTTTGGGTTCCCCCCTTCTTTGGCTTTAAACCGCTTCACTTCCTTTACTTCTCCTCCTTTAATGTTTTCTAATATCTCTCTCTCTGTCACATCAGCACAAACACCATAGATGACACCTTTAGACACGTTTTTCTTTTCCGAAACTGAGATTTCCACTTTCTTTCCTCCAATTTTCCCAATTTTTCTTGCTCTTCCAAGTTGATCTCTAGTGCTACACATCACTAGGAGCACCCCACTGGGAAGGATTCGTGCATCTATTTCCTCTTCAACACACCTAAGAGACTCAGCAATCTTCAGCGGATTCACAGCTCTAAAGCCTCCAGCAACCTGATCCTTCATTTTGAAGAAAATTTTAAATTCTTCCACAGGCTTTACCATTTTCAGTCTCCTATCTTCGTTTTCCAGAGA